CATAAAAGATTCCTGTACTTAAGTAGATTTGAGGATGATGGGTTAAGTAAATAATGCTAAGTGGGCTACTTTTCTACAAGACTTTTTCTGTCTGCAACAGGTCAAAGTACTTGGTACATCTTCAAGGAGTGATATGAGCACAGTGTCTCCATCATTAATTGGGCCCTGGTACCCTTTTTTTTGTTCATTTGTTTTTTTGTTGTTGGTGGTGAGGAGTACTAAAGTTCAGCAGAGCAAACTCTGGCCTATGCTGCTTCAGGAACCTGAGCATGGCCAGCCGTCCTCTTCTCTGCGGGTCAGCCCTCCACAATGTGGACGGAGAGTCCACATCAGGGTTTTCCTCTGTGGGGCTCCAGTTTTCTCAGCTCTGAAAGGAAGAGGAGACCGTCCTTGGACCCCTGAGACTTCATGGTCATAGCGTCCAATACTTACATTCATGCTTTTAACCACCTTTCATTGTGCCTTTTCACTCCTCATACTAAGCTTTCTGGTTTTTCACTTCATCTTGTTTTCATTTACAAGCCTAGAAGTCTTCATAGGGAACTGTTAAGTTGCTTTTGGCCAATGTCCTTATGACTTAATAGTTGAAACCTTCCGACAATTTGGAGCGCAGAAGATGAAGATGAGGAAAAAAATAACTTATAAGAAAAAGAAAACAAATTCATGGGCCAATTTTAGTCCTCTCTGAGACTTTTGAAGTAGGTGATTAGAGCGATGGATGTGGAGGAGGGATGAGGGGAGGTGGAAGTTTGTACCTGCATTTTTCAGCTATGCATAATGTGTTTTCTGGGTCCAGCCTAGGGTGCTTCAATTCCTGGGATGGGGGTGAGTATTGATAAAGGGGTTAAAGGGCAGGATCTGAATCCCTCCTATCCAGTCTCCTCACCCCAACGTGGACAATGGCTGACTTTGTATGTTTGGGTCCCCAGTGCCGTAGGGTTGTGTTTCCAGTGGCTTTTGTCACTCAGTTATGAGCAATCCTTCATTTTCTTTCTTTCTGCTCCCACCTCCCCTTTGCACTACTCCTGATTGACCGAAACTGACATGTTTCAGAAGCCAGTCTATTACTGTGACCTAGGCAAGCCAGTTCCCACATCTGGAATAACCTGGCTTAGCTACTGTTTTATGGCCTATATACCTATGACAAACCATTTCTCTACAAAAACAACCACTTAACCCTTCCCCACCCAAGACTTGCTTCCTATATTTTATATGGATGTCTTAATTTAGGAGACAAATGCTTTTGCTTTCATGCATCTTCTGTAGATCAGTCCTTATTAAAACGTTTTTTAAAAATGCTAGTAAAAATCACTATGCACACAGATTCAGTTTCCATCTCCTCCTGGACTTGCACAGTCCCATCCATCAGAAAAGCGTCCTTGGAATCTTCAACTCCTCCCAGAGCCTCGGTCTGGAAATAGATCCCGCAGGGTCACCCCTAGAGGGCGCACTGCTTACGTTGTCCGCAAGTAACCAGACAGCGCTCGCTCCCTGGCTCCATAAAAGGGGAGGAGGCGGATCAGTTTCCTTCTCTCATTGAGAAAGAAGAGGATTGGAAGGCCGAGCATATAAAGCCGCGCAGAGAGCGTGAAACAAAGCAGTCGGATCGGAATTGGACTTGGGAAGCGCGGTGTGGAGTCAAGCATAAAACTTGTTGGAGGGGAGTAACGAGCCTGCTCCTCCAGCTCTCCTTGTCTGCGCCGCGCTTCAGGGATTCCCACCAGCCTTGCGATTTATTTTTATATCTGCTTTTTTATATAGAGAGAAATACATATATATATTTTCCTCTTAAGAGAAAATTCCTGTTCTAAGAGAAAATAAGACAAGATCAATGAAGGAGAGAAGAGCCAGCCAGAAATTATCCAGCAAATCTATCATGGATCCTAATCAGAACGTGAAATGCAAGATAGTAGTGGTGGGAGACAGTCAGTGTGGGAAAACCGCGCTGCTGCACGTCTTCGCCAAAGACTGCTTCCCCGAGGTGAGTGTGGCCGGCCGGGGCTTTGAGGAGGGGGGCGGTCCGCGGGGTACCCCGTCTCCAGGTGGGTTTTCCTTTTTGCTTTTCCCTGTTCCCCTATTTTTTTTTTAAAGCTGTCTTTTCCACCCCTTATTACTCCCACCGGTTAGACTGCCTGGAGAGGGAAAGTGGGCAGGAAGCGTTTAGGGGTTGGGACGCGCCTGCACATTCTGCTGTGAGCTCAGAAACTTGTCCGGTCATGTGTGCAGAACCCGGGGTTGGGAGATTTGGATCCTCACGTCTTGGGGAGCCGGGTGGGGCGAGCGGGGAGGCAGGGGTTTAGGAAAAGGCCTGCCTGTTTGGCGAGTGACCTGATGTGTAGGGTATTTTATTTTTAATTGAGGAGGTAGTTTTTCAGAGGGGGTACTTGCGGCGTCGTGCCTTTTAAGATAACCTCTTTGCACTCTTCTGTCCATTTTGTTCGTCCAGAATTACGTCCCTACAGTGTTTGAGAATTACACGGCCAGTTTTGAAATCGACACACAAAGAATAGAATTGAGCCTGTGGGACACTTCGGGTAAGAGTCAGCGGACCGCGTGGTGCCTGGGGCGGGTTTCCAGCCGCGCTCCCGGGTGCGTGGCGGGTCTGGGACCTCGCGCCCGGCGGCTCTCCGCGCACCCGCCACCGCACGCCACCCGCGCTCGGCCGCCCCTCGGTTAAGGCGACCTTTTCCGAGGGATTCCCGAGGTCCCTGCTGGGTGATAACTCTGTCCCTTCTGGGTGGGGTGAGCGGATGGCAGTGGGGAGAAAAGAGCGCTGTGTGCCCGCAGGGTGACCCCGCGGCGGGGACCGCCTGTAGCCGGGTGGCCAGGGAGCGGTTGGCTCGCGGGACTCCCTGCCCGAGTCGCCTCGCAGCTGCCAAGGGGGCTCGGTGTTGGGGTGACGCGTGCGCCGCCTCGGAACCACCTGGCTCCCGGCGGGCACCCCTCCAGGATCTAACCTGCTGATTTTCTGGGAGGCGGGGAGCGCGGCGGGGGTGGTGGAAAGTGGGAGGTGGGAGAAAATCCCCGAAGCGACGCGGTTACGTTCGGATCCCGCCCCTGGGAGGTGGGGGTGGGGGGTGGGAGGGGAGGGGAACCCTTGCCCGGGCCGCCCCGGCGCTCGTGACGCCTACAGCCAGGAATGCGCTGGCGGCGGGGCAGCACGCGGTCCGCTGGTCCCGGCCTCCTCTCCCAGCCGCCGCCCCGGTGCCGACCTGCAGATCCGAGCTCCCTCGCCTTCCCCAACGCCCCGCTCCTCTTGGTCACGCTGGCCCCCGCCCCCGCCCTTGCCATTCCCTCCTGACCCCTATTGCATCGCCCCCGCCCGCCGAAGAGGCCGCGGGCCGCACTATTCGCCTTTGACCTTCCCGTCCAGTTGAATTATTGACGTGGTGGTGAATTCGTTTCAAGGATCTGGGGGTCAAGACCGGGTTATCGCCTTCCCACGCGCCCACCCATCCACCTGGTGCGCGGTGGTGGTTGGGGGCAGGATTCCAGCACACGGCTTTTAGGGGTTCCGGCTGGGTCTAATGCGGTAAGGGCACCCCCCACCCCCTGCCCCGGAATCTGGGTCTGGGATCCAGGCACCCGCCGCTGGTGTGTGCGGCTCCCGGGAGCGAAGGATTGAGGTTCTCACCAAGGGCATTGCCTCTGGAGGAGGAGGAGCCAGCGCGCAGGCTGGGTCAGAGCCCCCGCGCCGCTGTGTGCAGCTCCGCGAGCAGCTGGGCTGCCGCCGGTGAAACCGGCCCAATCCCGGGTGAAACCAGCGCGCAAGTGCCAACACGCAGGTTTTGCTGTCAAGCTGGGAGTAGCCTCCTGGAGGTGCTTCTGGGCTGTGCGAGCTCCCCACAACCTTGGGCTTTAACCTCTGCAGCCCTGGAGGGACTCGGGGATTGGAGAGCCCCGGGAAGGAACCGGCCTGGCGACCGGCCTGGCAGGGTCGCCTGAGGCAGTCCAGGCACAAAGACCCGCGGGAAGTCTCGCACGAGCGCCTCTCGTGGTCACTGCCTGGTGCTCTGAGTTGTGCAGTGAGAAGCGCCGATTTTGTCTCTCCCTGGAGAGCCAGGCTCTTCCTGGAGCCTTGCCAAGGGCAGCAGAACCAGGACCTCAGCGTGTTTTGTATGGGGGATTGCACACAGTCTCGCAGCTGCAGGGAAGGTGTTGCTAGAATGCTAGTGTTTTCTTATACCTCAGTAGTTCCTATCATCAGCGTTGTTACAGAGCCCCCAGTACTTAATGGGATCTAATTCCCAGACATATCAAGGTATTTGTGATACCTGGTGGGCAGGACAGCTGGTTTGGAACCAATAATTAGCACCAGTAATCCGCTCCCCTCCCCTCCCCCCCCACCACACACACACACACACACACACACGCACACACACACACACACAGGTTTGGACCTAATGCAAGGTAAGAAGTATTTAGGCAGTTAGGTGTGGGGTCTGAGTCTGATCCAGTCGTTGATACGAAGCTGTGCTTAGATCTTAACTACTGGTTACCACCGATTTCTGTGTACAAATCCCCTACCTCCCTGAGTCTCATTTCATTGTCTGAAAAAAGAGAACAGAGAGCTAGATAACGTGCAGGATCCCTCCCAGCCCTTTGCTTCTTGGCTTTAGGACACCGGACAAGCAAGTCTTTTTGTTTCCCAGGATGTTGGTTGGCTTCTGCTCTCAGTCTCAGTGGATCTGGCATTCCAGTGCTGGGGTTTTCACCACCCACAAAGCCAGCCAGGTTCTGGACAGAGCCACTGCTTCCTGGGGGATTTAGGAAGGAGACTCATTTAGGTAGGGGAGGGGCACGGGTGGGCTCAGAGGAAGGAATGCTGGGTTATATATGCCCTGTCTCAGGCTTCAAGAGTCACAGGACCACCAACGGAGATTTCGATTAGGCCTCCAAAGGGCTAAATTGACTTTTTTTTTTTTAGCAGAAAAAAAATGACACATTGTTTTTCAAAGGCTAGAAAATAAACAAAATGTGGAGGCTATGCTTCACATGTGCAGTAAATATCAATCACTTCAGATATTTTCAAGTATTTAATTCAAACTTTCTGCATACATAGCATCATGTCTCACACATGGTAGTCACCCAATAAAATATGTTGCATGAACAAATGAATATGCATAGTTTCCAAGGAGATCAGATTCCCTGACATTTATTACCACTGAATTATCTGTGCACAAAGAACGTCAACTTTATAAACATTGCCTTTCATCAAATTAAAGATAATCACCTGAAATGAAGTCTGTAGTGAGATAATCACTTGTATTTTTACTTAATGAAACAAAACGGATGGATGTTTAGCTAAAATATAAAGGTTTGGAAAAACTGTGATTAAGAAAATATCACGGCAAAATTATTCCATAATGAAATCTTTGCTCCAATTGAGGTTTATACAAACGGGAAAAAAGGCATAGTTAGAATTCCATTATGTTGTTTGTGAGGCAAAATATTAGTTAATTAAACACAGTTACCAAGCACTGCTTAAATTCTAAAATAGACTGTTTCCACCAAAAATGGTTTGTCATTCATGAGCAAAATACATCTAGCAAGAACCACTGCATCAGCAGCTAATCATTTCAAGTGTCTTAACATTTTTCCATTGCAACTCGAGCTTTTCATGGCAAATTTCTAAACAGGATTAATTTTTGATGAATGTTTGACATTTTCTTTTCCCACTAAGATATTTGTTTAGTTCAGGTTGTGAAAATCATTGCATGTGCCTTATGCCTCTTGATACATTTATTTTTTCCCAATTGCTATCAATTTAACTTTGGAGATAAGATCTAAACCAAGTTCGTAAAGTCCTAAGTGTCAATTTTATTTTTCCTTTCTAAAACATTGTGAAAGTTAGAGATTTATTTAGGAAAAATTAGATGTTCCTCACTTCACTTACTAGTATATAGGGAGAAAGATTGCATAAACTTTGTCCTTTGAATGGCATGCTCCTCGTGTTTAGCCTCCTAGCAGAGGGGTAAACATTCAGGAACCAGAAGCAATTCTTGCCTTATCTGGCTTCCATACTTGGAAGGCTTTTCATAAAAGGGTCTCTGCCGGGAGCCGGTCCATCCTTGCTGCTTGACACAGTCGTTGCAGGAAAGAAACATCTGCACAGCATATGTTTCAAGGGACCTGGCATATATAGCATATTGTTCTTAATATGTTTGCTCTCCTTAGCGCCATGTGTTTTAACCAAGGTCACCTCTCCGAGAAAGGTTGTTTCCCCAGGTGGGGATCTTTCCCTGAGGTTAGGGAGGGGATACAACCCCTTAATTAAGTGCCAGGCGGGTAGTTAAGCTACATAATCTTTACTCCCTGGAATGGAGATAAGAAACGCCCCAACCTTTGTAATAGAAATTGACAGGATTAAAATCGGCTGGTATAAATACGGATGTAACAAGACAATAAACATCAGATTGTCATCAGATCCTCATCAGATCCTAACCAGAACCTAGCCAGAGAACATGGCAAAAGATCCTGGACAGAACCTGGCTGAGGAACCCAACTATGATGATCACTGAACGCTGACCCCATGTCATTCCTTCTTCGCCGACTCCGTCCACACCTTTGGGGACCCCTGGACCTGCTGGGGATGGACCCCAACAGGTCTCCTTTTCTCCAGCAGTCATACAATATGCACAGGCAAAGCTCTGCCAATTTGGGTGTAGGAAAGAACATCAAGTGCAAGCAGGCTATGTAGGGTCTTTTTGCACCAAGAGAAAAGATAATTCATTCCCCACTTTTTAAGGCACAGAAACTTAATAGCGCCTTCCATTCTCTTCTCTAGCTCCCTTCTCTTTTTCTGCACCTATTATGTGCAGGCCCTGGGTGAGGTCTTAGAGATGCAGTGTTAGTTTTAAAAAGGCCCTGCCCCTAAGAATCATTTAATTCAGGTGGGGTGGGGAGTGGGGAGATGGAAACTCTCCCCATTTAGTGTAGCTCATATTCAACTTATGATGAGGTTCTTGCACCAAGTGCCCTGTTCTACCTGGTTACAGTGATTTACATTGTCAGGCATCCCTAGTGCTGATAGACCCTCCGGCCGCCAGTGGCAAATGGCTAGTTGATGTCTGATGGTTGCTTAAAGTCACTCCAGCCCCTCTGAAAGTAAACAAAACCTTCTTTGAACTAAAGCCACCATGAATCCTCTAAAAAGTGGTGGTGGGGGGGGGGAGGGGGTGCAGAGAGGGAGAGGGGCTAAAGATAGCCTTTGGATACAGATCCATAATTTCTTGATTTTTAATGAAGTATACCCTTTTCATTAAGAAGATGAACATGTTTATTAATAGTTGCAGAAATGCCCCAAATAATTTTCAAATTTACTCCATGAGTTTCTGCAAAACCATGGGACATGGTATCAGCATTTTGAGGTGATGAGTTGAGATCAAAGTAGTTCTACTATCTATCATGTGCTTCAGAGTCTGCCACATTTGCCAAGCATGGAAGCAATTTGTAGCATGGAGCTAATAATAGAAGCTTAGTCATTTAAGGATCACCATATCTTTCCTAAGTGATTTGATTGCAGTGTAATTTCAACGCATGTGATTTAGGGAATAATAGTCATTCATGCCAGCTTTTAACCAAGGCAAGTTAATGCACATTTTATTTCAGGCATATTATTAGTTTTAAAATACTCAGTTCAGCTGCTAAAATTCCCCCACAATAACTATGCTGTTTCCTCATGAATACTCTTTTGAATCTTGTCATGATATAAGCTTCTTTTAGGCCCTATGTGCTAAAGTTAGTACTTCCTTATTAGTTTTTAACATTATTAGCAGAGAATATAGTTGTCTTTAAATTTAATACTTAAAGGAAAAGGGAAGAAAAAAATCTCAATTCATGGTCTGACTTTAAGGACAAACTTTACAAATATAAGTCATTTATATTGTTATATCTATAGCTTATACATAAGTTTAAAGAATAGTCTCTGTGACAAGCAGTCTATTGAAATATTTCTTAACAGGAATGGAAATGTTCAGCTGTGTTGGAGATTAGTGTATAATTAATTCAGAAAAGCAGCTTCAAAAGAGATCACTGGCCCCTCTTTTGTGATTTACCATGTAAATTAACACATCAAGGCAAGACATATAGAATAGAAAGAAGTATAAAGCCAGTAAGCAGTTTTGTTGTTGTTGTTAGTTTTTTTTAGGGCATTGTGTGCGCATGAACTCTGATGAATGCTGTGGGAACAGGGTGGGGACAGCAGAGCAAAGCTGAGCCCTCAAGGCACTACGAGTCTTATCTTTGGTTCTTTAATACTTGTTTATAGGAGGGTGAGTCTAAGGTTCTAAAGTTGGTTTCACCTATCACGAAGATCCAAAGAATTGAAGGCTATAGGGCCAGCCCAAGCCCCTGATCTAATGCCTTCCTTATCTCCATAAGTTTACCCAGTCTTTAACATCCCTCCCACTTGGAAACAGCTTACATTTATTTAATGATTCAAGGAAACCAAGATTCTGAAAGCTGAAGTCTAACTTAACCTTGTTAGAGAAAGACAGAGAACAAGCATTTACAAAGAAGCCAAATACTCATGGGTGATGTGACTACCAAGGGCAAAATTGCAGAAAACCAGTTCGATCATAAGGTAGTCATGATCCCTAGGAGCTTAGAGTTTCAAAACTAGGTTCAACTCTTAGGCTTTTATCCTGAAACTCTGTAAGACATGTAGATTAAGGCAAAACAGAGAGCTCTTAAGTTTGGATGGTGATTTTCAATACGCAATAAACTACATTTGGAGATTTGTCCACCATGCAATGATTTCAGCTTAAACTATAGATTTTTAAAAAGTAAGGTATAAATTCCCTTTCTAAGTCTACATCTGTCTCTAGATCCTCAGTTAGTGCTAAGTTTTCTCCAATTTAGTTTCTTGCTAAATTGTACATTTCAGTGAGGCGTCCATATTGGTCATTTTGATGGCACCTGAAATAACCAGATGTTTCCTTATTAATCCAGTTCTTTTGCATGTAGATATGACACCAGGGATCAATAGTTTCTCCAATAAGCTCATGGTATCTGGTGGGCTGTGCTAAATGAATTAGTTGTACCTCAGCCATTTTCAGATGCCCTGTAAATGTCTTCTCAGTTACTATATATTGGCAACTTGACTTAGAGACACCAAAGCAAATTCCCATTGACACCGAATGCAACTGGGAATTTGCAGAAGTTTGACCATGTGTTGTGTAAATTGGTTTTGAAAAGTGAGCCTGATGATGTAGGATATGGCAAGACGAATTCACCTGTGGAGCTCTTCTCTGAGGAATCAAGTATTATATGGAACACAAAGTCTTTAATCTGTTACTGAAGAATAATGCCATTAAAAACTTTTGTTCATATCTACCCTTATCCCTAAAGCTCTGTGACTTACCATAGTTCCACTTTAAGTAGAATGTTTGGGTTCTAATACTTCTTAAAAGTCTAAGTAAGACCAGGAGTTTAGGGCAACCACTTTATTTACAGCCCCAAAATAGCGACCTTATTTCTACCTCATTGACTTTCCAACTATGCATCTGCACTGCCCCAAGAAATAAAAAAATATTGATTCTATCTTTATAGCAACACAGAAGGGCCCCTGTCCACGTTTTCATAAAATCTGTTCATAATTCCAGTGAATCTGAACCTGTAAAAGAAACAAAATACTCTTCCTGGGAATGTTTGTTGCATATTTGTGGGCATGGCATTTGTGGGGCACACTACTGGGGAAAAGAGTTCAGAGTCGCCTACTGTGCCAGACAGAAAAGTCCTGCTCAGACTTGATTCACATGGTTGAGATTGTTGCTAATTTGGAGCTTTCACTCTCTAGATGGCATGAAGAAGTGGAATCCGCTGATAGCTGGGCAGATCATAGTCTCGTGTGTTTGCTGCTGTTGGCACAGAGATTCTGTTGGTGGCCACTGAAAATACCAAAAGTTAAATCTATTTTCTTTGCCAAAAAAAATATGCAGTATTCCTAATTTTATTGTTCTTGTTAGGAATTTCTTAAGGGGGAATGGAAAGTTTTTAAATTTAAGGTTCAAATAAAAGAAATTATATTTAGGAAATACTCAACTAGAAGAGTTTTCAGTTCTCAGACTCCTATAGAGACTCAGAACATTTGAACTGGTTTTGCAAAAGGTTCCATAAAGCCTGCCTTTGGGCATGAATCTTCTCACATATACATTTAATGATGTACATATATGGTATGTTCTATCTTTGTGAAAGGATGACGTAAACAGGCAGGTATGTCTGCAAAATTAGTTTCTGGGTGAGGCACTTTGTGACTCTTCTTGGGCTGGAAATGCTGCTCTCACGCAAAGTTAATGATCTTGAAGACAAAGATGGGTAGACCTGATGTTTCAAAAGCCTTTTAGAACTTGGCCGATGTTTGCCAAACTTGAGGAACTCAGAGCACCATAAATGTGCACTTATTCTAATCTACACCCAAGCAAAGAGATTTTTTTCTTTCTTTTTTTTTTATTTTTTTTTGTGGAGGTGGGGTGCATATGTGGCATAGTTGTTTCTTTATAATACAGAGTTTTCCTGAAGTTTTCTCTTTATGGTCTGATCAGTTCATTAGAAAGGACTTGGGAATAGTGCTGTGTGTTTCAAGTTTCGTCTGGCATAATAAGAAATGCTGCAGCTGAGATTTCCATATGCATGAAGCCTATTGCACATGCTGAGAAAGAGTTTTATTTGAGAAAGCTCAGCTCAGTACCTAGACTTACTGCATTTAGCTGAGGTACATTCTTGGGGTACATACATCAGTACCTGCTGTGTACTGCAGTTAGAGTTCAGTATGCTCCTACATAGTGAAAAATGTGCAGCACTCTTGTGTTTAGTTCTACAGTTACCCTGGAAGCTTTGCACCTGCATCTTTAAAAATATATATATAGAAGTTAATGTGTTGCTGTTTGGCTTAACAGACTGTTTTAAGACTTTTCGGGAGAGATGTAGGAGTTAAGGGCACGCATTTTTCCTATTTCATGGGCTTACTTTCAGCCCTTACTTTGGTGTCACTTCTGCCTCCCATATTGGTTCTCACTTCACAGGGCATTCCTGGAATTCCTCTTCCCTTTTTCTTGGCCTGTGAGTTGTACCACACATGCCTGTGATTACAGCGTGCACTCTCCAGCTTTGCTTTCCTTTGTGCAGTAGCATGGGCTTTACAGAAGAGAATGAGGAAGAATCTGAAGTGCTTAAGCAGAGTAAACACTGTTAAGTTACACAGGATCTTTTTTTTTCCCCTGAAGGTTCTGCTTAGCTGAATTGTTAGATTTTTTTTTTTTTTTACTATGAAAAAGTAGAGGCAATAGATTTTCTATCCCAAAAGATAGGAAAGATCTTTGGGATAGGAAAATTTTACCCCACCCCAAAATATAATGAGTAAGTGGTCTTGTGGTCTTGTTATTTTTAATGACACATTACTCTTGTAGTTAGTGGTTATACAAATTATGCTTATAACTAATAAATATGGGGATCAGTTTTATTGCCACTTTGGACACTCCTGTTGATCTAACAGAAGTGAGAGGACAGGATCACGCCTAATCAGGTCTCGTGAAAGCTTTTAAAAAGTGCCTCTTTGTGGGTGGTGGGCACCCAGTGCAACATACAGATACATCTTGTATCATACAAGTGTATGGTTGAAACCTGTATGATCCTATTAACCCATGTTACCCCAATAGATTTATTTTTTAAAAATTGCCTCTCTAAAATGTAAAGCAAGGTGGTTTATGTCTCATGAACCTTCACATACATACTTATTTTCATTCAAAACATTAAACCAAATGAAAACTTGAACAGAAACAAACCTCAGTAAGAATGTGGTATCAGTCACAGCTCTGTTTCATCTTAAGTCGGGACAGTTTCTACGGTTGCAGCTATGTGGGCTGACTCACTAAGCACACAGGGCACATGGCTTGGTTCTAGGAAGCTGTAGTCTCCAGGCGGGACAGGGCAGAGGGCGGAGCACAGTGCCAGACCCCCTTTGTGGCTGAT